TACCTAGGAAAACTTAACTAAGAACATAAAAGACCTATACTCGGAAAACTTCAGGACACTGAAAAAAGAGACAGAGGAAGACATAAACAAATGGAAGAATATACCATGTTCATGAATTGGTAGAATCAACATCATTAAAATGTCCATACTACCCAAAGCAATCTATAGATTCAATGCAATCCCCATTAAAATACCTACAGCGTATTTTAAAGATCTAGAACAAACTCTCAAAAACTCATCTGAAATAAAAAAAGACAGCAATCCTGAGAAATAGAAACAAAGTTGGAGGAATCACAATACCAGATATCAAGCTATATTACCAAGCCACAGTTCTCAAAACTGCCTGGTACTGGCCCAAGGACAGACATATAGACCAATGGAACAGAATAGAGGACCTAGAAATTGACATAAGCCATTATACTCAGTTAATATTTGACAAAGGAGGCAAGAGCATACAATGGAGTCAAAACAGTATCTTTAATAAATGGTGCTGGGAAATTTGCGAGATACATGCAAAAAATGAAAGTAGACCACCAACTTATACCATACACAAAACCAAACTCAAAATGGCTAAAGGACTTGAACGTAAGATGGGAAACCATAAAAATCCTACAAGACTCCATAGGCAGCAAAATAGCAGACATATGTCGTAGCAATATGTTTACAGACACAGCCCCTAGGGCAATGAAGACTAAGGAGAAAATAAAGAAATGGGACTACATCAAATTAAAAAGCAGCTTGTACACAGCAAAAGAGATCATCAACAAAACAACAAGAAAGCCCACTGCATGGGAAAACATATTTTTCAATGACTTGGGGAAAAAGGAGACATATGTAAAACTTTACAATAAAAAAAATAAGAAATGCAAGTGTCCTTTTCAATTCATTTGTGTTTCCTAAACTTGTGGGCCTAAGAAAAACTTACAGGGAAAAGATGCTAAATGAACATCACAGAATCACCTGGGAATCTCCTAAGGCAGTGGTCAGCAAACTGCACCTCGCAAGCCATTTGCGGTTCTTTGGCCCCTTGAGTGTGGCTCTTCCACAAAATACCACATGTGGGCGCGCATGTACAGTGCGATTGAAACTTCGTGGCCCATGCGCAGAAGTCGGTATTTTTTTAAAATATATTTTATTGATTTTTTACAGAGAAGAAGGGAGAGGGATAGAGAGTTAGAAACATGGATGAGAGAGAAACATCGATCAGCTGCTTCCTACATACCCCCTACTGGGGATGTGCCCACAAGCAAGGTACATGCCCTTGACTGGAATCGAACCCAAGACCCTTCAGTCTGTAGGCCAACACTCTATCCACTGAGCCAAACCGGTTAGGGCCAGAAGTCGGTATTTTGTGGAAGAGCCACACTCAAGGGGCCAAAGAGCCGAATGCGGCTCTCGAGCTGCAGTTTGCTGACTACTGACCTAAGGTGTTTGAATAAGAAAATCCAAGACAGAGCTTCTCAAACATGGTACATAAAAGTAACCTGGGAATCTTGTTAAGATGATTCCGATTCAATGGCTGTGGAGGGTGGGGGGTCTACATTAATGAGCTTCCAGGTGATACAAATGTTCTTAATTCCTAAACCACATTTGGAGGATCAAGGCTCTAGAGCAGTGGTTCTCAACCTTGGCTGCACATTAGAATCCAAGGTTGAGAACCACTGCTCTAGAGCAAGCATAAAAGTAATGATTAAATATATATCCTCACTATAAGATATA